GCCAAACGCACTCAAACAACTAAACACCAACGCCACAATCCCCCTCGCCGTGAAACCCTCCGGTAACCTCCCCGGACTCCTATTCTCACCGCTCAGATCCTCGTAATCAACCGTGTTCCCCGCTGCATTACCCTGCGTGGGTACATGCCCCGTTTCACATACGTCCCAGTGCGATTGCGGAATAGCGTTAGCGTTGGAGGAAGAAGGGGAGAGTTGGGCTTGGACGGCGAGCGGGGCTTCGATCATTGTGGCGGTTAGCCCGGAGGCTACGTGCCATTCTATGTGGCAGTGGAAGAGCCAGACGCCTTGGGGGGGATGTCAGTAGGTGAAAGAGTAGGATCGTGCAGAGATAACGTTGTGATGGGAATGTTGGGTTTGGTGCGTGGGAGTGAGTGCTTACCAGGGTTATCAGATCGGAAACGCAAAACGATGTGTCCGTTTGGTCGGACGAGGACGGTGTCGCGTCGCATGGGTGTTGAAGGGGGTGTTGTTGTGTTGGTGGGGTCGTAGAAGCCTGCGTCGTCGCCGCTGCGGGTTACGACTTGGAAGGCGTGGCCGTGGAGGTGGAAGGGGTGTCTGGGAATGAGTGTTAGTATGAATGCATTATCTACATTTCGACATTGGCGTAGAGAGCGAACGATGCGAACATGAGAGGGATATACGCACTTTCCAGGGTCATCATTGTTTAGCACAATTTCCACAACTTCGTTCTGAGCAAGTACGAACGCGTTCGTGTTGCTGCCGTAGATGGTGGGGTTGGTTGCGTTGGGGCCGGTGGAGAGGACGGTGTATAACGTGGGTACTTTGGGACTGACGTAGGTTACGTCGTTGAAGAAAGCGCTGTCACATGTTAGTTCCTAGTAGTTCAAATATAAACATGAGACAGGATATCGGCAACTCACTAATTCGCGCCGTCATCGAGGTTATCCATCTTCAAGTCCAAGGTGATGGAACGATCAACATGATCAAACAGCTCTTCCTTATCGTGCGGTACCAAAGCGAAATCATCAAAAGGCTCAAATGCTGATATCTCTTTTGCGGCAGGCATGTCCTTTTTATCATCATAGACAAGCCATCCCGTGACATTGGGATTCAGCCCATCGGGTATAGCATCGAACAGGTCCTGGTCCATGCTTCCTACGAAAGCGAAGTTGGAATTGGTGTCGTTCTTGGCAGTGACGAGAACACTGTACCGCTGTGCTGCGGTCAGGTAGATCATATCTGCCTCCATGGGTTCCGTATACACGCCATCGACCTCGACAACGCGCATGGTATGATCCTCGAACCAGACGTACTGGGCAGCGAACGCACCCATGTTGACTAAGCGGAAGAGATACGTCTTTCCTGGCTGAATGGCGACAGTCAAGTTTTGAGTGTCATTGAGCAATGCGGCTTGAGGTACGGGCTCCGCGCCAGAAGGATTGGCGATGTTGATGAATTCGCCCAAGAGATTGTGCATGAGATCGTGGTACCAATCAGAAAGTGTTATGACGACTTCTTCGTCATAGAGATCTTTGAATGGGTCTTCGGGGTCGTGCACTATCAAAGGGCCTCGAAGACCATCTGGGTATTGGCCGCGCTCATGGCTGTGGTACCAATATGTGCCGGGTTGGTCGACCTAGTTAGGTTAAAGACTGCAATGACTATCCATCAGTGACTGCGCAACTCACGGTAAAGTTGTATGTGAAGGAGCTGCCTGGAGGGATGCCGCATTGGGTTACAGCAACAGGGCCGTCCATATGCGTAGTGCCATTCATGTACAAGCCATGAAAGTGCAGACTCGTCGACTCATTTCCTAGAGAGTTCTTTGCGTTGACGATGACCTGATCGCCTTTCGTGACTACGATGGGTGGTAAAGGCCATTGGCCATTGATGCCAATAACCGGGCGCGTTTCCTGCCCATCGGGGTTCGCATAAGTCCATGCTATGTCGAAGTCATATGTGACGGTCGCGCAGGTAGCGACTGGTAGTAGTAGGGAGAGCGGAAGGAGGAGGCTCGATAGTGAGAGTGCCATGATGGCGCACGAAGCGAGTGCTCAGAATCAGATGCAGTCAGACCTCGTCGCTGATGATCAGGCTCCTGTGAGTACGACTGTACTAAGGAAGTTCATGTGCTACACCCACGTTAGTGCCGATGCAAGAACACTCTCGTCAGACGTAGGACGTAAGATCCGACGTGCGGAGATCAGATAAGACTCTCTCAGCATTTAGCCTCCACCACCTCAAGCCCCCATGCTTCGGCGCCGAGTTATCAGATCATGAGCCCATGTTCTCGACGGTCTGAAGGCGGCCACAAAGTGTCGCAAAGCGGGGCTTCTGCGTTTTTCCCTCACGAACTAGACTTACCTCGGTCTGACGTGTTTGATCATCCCAGTATCAGATTGAATTTTCCACGTCTTGGGTAACGACTAGCGAGTTTGTCGAGGTTGATTTGCTGTGGGGTGACATTCACCGGGTGTTATCGGTCCATCTGATAATCTGGACCTCGATCGGCCAGGGTCTGGGGTAAGCGACGGCGCCGAAGGACCAATAAGCCTGCGCTAGTCCGCGCCACGAAGTCTTGATTGGATTTGGCGTGCTGGGCATGTGAAGGTGCCGATCAGATAACTCGGAGGTTTGAGAGGGTGTTGGAGCATCTGTCGTCGGAAACAGAGCGGAGAAATGGGACTGAGGCTGGGTGTAGTTGTCTAACGCCAGAAGATGACAACCAGAGATATCGCAGTCGGAGTCGCAGCCGACGCAGCACAAAGCTGAAGCATGATCGGTCCGTCGTGATACCGGGAGAAACTCAAATTAAGAGGCAGGGTCGTCGTGCATGCCCGAACTTCGGCTCTTGTCTAACGCTATCGACACGAACGGCAGGCGCGTGTTAGCCACCCTCAGCTTCGGGAGTCGCTGCATGTCCACCCATCTGATTAGATCCGTCCTCTGTTCTTTATCAAATACCCAGTGAGGATACTAAACCACGCAACTTTGACAGTTCCAAGGTCCCTCAACATGCCGAACGTCTTTGCTGTGCCAGGTATGTATGCGAGGACAATCGGTTTCCACTTTGTGGTGCACACCATGCCATCATTGCTAACGCTGATCAAGTCTTCTTCATTTGCTTCCGCGAATGTCTGGAAACCAGCATCATCGTCTCTGTGCTCCTCGCCTTCCTCAAGCAAACCCTCGGCCCTGAACATGACGCGACAGTCCACAAACGACTCGTACGCCAGGTCTGGTATGGCGTCGGGGCGGGTGTTCTGATCTGCTTGGTCATCTGCGCCGGCGTCATTGGCACCTTCTACACTGCTGGACGCAATGCCTTCGAAGCTGCAGAGAACATTTGGGAAGGCGCCTTCGCAATCCTCGCAAGTGTCATCATCACTATGATGGGAGCTGCCCTGCTCCGCGTCAGCAAGCTTCAAGACAAATGGCGTGTGAAGATTTCCAAAGTACTGGAGCAAAAGGATTCGAAACTACCCATTAAGGGTAGGTTGAAGCGATGGTCGGAAAAGTACGCCATGTTCATCCTGCCTTTCGTTACTGTACTTCGCGAAGGCATTGAAGCAGTGCTGTAAGTTACATACGTCTTGCCCCTGCATCGCAGAGCTGAACAATCCACCAGATTCATCGCAGGTGTCGGACTCGGTGCGCCAGCGACCAGCTTCCCTCTCGCCGTACTCTGCGGTCTCGGTGCGGGCGCCTTGGTCGGATTCCTCATCTACAAGGGCGGCAACAAGACTTCTCTACAAATCTTCCTCGTCATCTCGACGTGCTTCCTTTACCTGGTTGCAGCAGGTCTGTTCTCCAAAGGTGTCTGGAACCTCGAACAGAACGCCTGGGTGAAGCTTGCTGGCGAGGGTGCTGCAGAAGCCGGTGCCGGTCCTGGTAGCTACGATATCAGGAAGAGCGTGTGGCACGTAAACGTAGGTCTTTATTGTGACAGAAGCCGAACTTCTTATAATGACTGCGATGACAGTGCTGCTCACCATTGGAAAACGGCGATGGCGGGTAAGTAGATATACTCTCATTCAGATGTTCTCTCGCTGACAACATCGGCTCAGTTGGGGTATCTTCAACTCTCTTTTCGGCTGGCAAAACAGCGCGACCTACGGCTCCGTCATCTCCTACAACCTATACTGGCTCGTCGTCATCATCGGTTTCGGGTTCCTAGGGTGGAAAGAGAGCAAGAGCAGCCCCCCTCACAGCGCGCAGGCCGAGAGCATTTCTTCCAGCGAAGAACACGAAACCACAGGAAAGAAGTCCAGCGGTGAAGGCATCACAACCACGACAGCTGTACGAGAGGTCGATTAGACGAAGTGAGAAATCGTCGCCTCGAATATCGAGGCTGTGAAATTGTGTTGAGCGTATTTATAGATCTAGTGGGAGGCCTCGCTGTCAGCTCATTGGGACGATTGAGGGAAAAAGCTTGTTCGGGCCAAAAGTGGGCCCTAATGCAACCCACTCTAAACGAGGCCCAGGCCGTCCCAAACATCCTCGCACCGAATCCAAGATAACCGCCCCCTGAATATCATCCGAAACACCCTGAGATTGTGGCCCTCATTGCAGTTTGCACATCGAACGCGTGTCGTTGATCTTTTGCTGTGGGTCCCCCGATTGATGGTTTGCGTTGACCTGACGATCATGTTGGGGGCACCGTTTGACAGATCTTCAGCTTACCTGCAAGGCGCTCAACGGTTTTCGTTACTAAAAACAAAAATACCACGCATGGCGCAAGAACAGCGAAGATGACGGGCTGACACGACATTATTACCCATGCGCTGGAGCCGAGTTTCGTGGCGGAGTATACGCGTTCGGGTGTTGATGCACAAATTGAGGTATACATAAAGTGGATGCTGCCTGCTCTCCCACGCGTTTTGTTGCTCCTAGGTCCTCGCTCTTGCTTCTTGTCAATCGTTATTTCTGTCATCCTTCGATCTTAGTTTCAACTTTAGACGGCACTGTTCACCTGTTCTTTACCAACGTTCTCCACAACTTTCGCAATTACCGGCACGATGCAGTTCAAGAACCTCGCTCTCCTTACTGCCGTTGCTGGCACTGCTGTCGCAGAATTCGCTATCATCACCACACCGTTCCCCACCAACCTCAACATTCTCACCGATGTATGTTCCAGTCTATCCACCCATTACCTTATGTAATCAATGCTGATCCACGATATTAAGATCGACGGTTACGCTTCGTCCGTGTTGAACGTAGTCGAGACGGGCCTCGCATCCCTCACGCAAGCCTCCAACCTTGCTGCCGCCAAATCCGCTCACGATGGTCTCAAATCCTTCGTTGCTACCGCTTCATACTCGATTCCTAGCGGCGTCACCGAAGTCGGTGCGCTCGAGACCCTCTCTGAGACACCGGCCTGGTACAGCGCGCTTCCCAGCGATGTGAAGAGCTACTACGACAAGTACAACCAAGAGGTTCAGAGGCTGGTCAACCAGGCTATCCTCGGCGAGAACGGCACTCTTGCTACTACTACTGGAGCGGGTGCCAGTGGTGCGTCCGCGACAGGTGCGAGTGCATCTGCGACCGGAACCGGTGCCGCCATGGCCAACGTCGTTGGCGTGATGGGCGCTGGTTTTGCTGCCGCGTTCGCCGGTGTCATGGCCTTGTAAGCGTTGGGACGAAAGGTTGAAGTTGGATTAGAGGAGTAGGATTTACAGGGCAGGTCGTTTAAATTTCTTCATTGGGCTGCCCTTGGCTAGGGATGAGGTTGCCGCATGAAGCGGAACGACATCCGAATTTGTAGACGAGTTTTAGTTATGATACCTCTGCTTCTTTTCTGCACAGTTATGAGTTGCGAACGACAGGACGCTCTTCCCATTGAGTGATTTCTTCTTGTATTGACCATGTATTTACTCGTCTATACCTTGAGATCTCTGCGCCCCCCTCTTTCCATGCACACAGTACACGTCTATTGCCCTGCAGCCTCGACAAGACTCCCTATTGACCTTCACCCTTCGGCTTCGCCAACTTCGCAACCTCAGGATCCTTAGTAACCTCCTCGTAATCCGGTCTCGGCAGCTCAAACGCCTGTGTCGACCTCGCATACGTAATACCGCCCAACCTAGATATCGGCTTGAGAACCTGTGTCCAGCATTAGCAACCTTCCAACTCCCACAATCTTCACACTGGTAACTTACAGCTGGATCAACAAGCACACCCTGCTCATCAACAGCATCCTCCCTAACCCAAAAGTTGACACCTTCCACAAACGCAGTAACACCCGTCTTCTTATCCGGCGTAGCAGGATTCTTACTTGTCCACTCCACCGTGTTCACCAGCTTTCCCTCAATACTAAACACAGCCTCCTTGACACGATCCGGCTTGACAAACTTACTCTTCTCGGCATGCAGCCCGGTAAACGCCCATTCACTCACATCAGCGGGCGCATTGATGCTCGTGTAATTCGCCGCCTCGATGTACTCCTCCGTGATGATGTTGATAACAGCTTCCTTGGTATCAACCAGGTTTTTGAGCGTGTCCTTAGCCTTGTCCATGCCGCCTGCAAATCCCAGCACGAACATTGGTGGGTCGTGGTTCACGAGGTTGAAGTAGCTGAACGGAGCGAGGTTCGTGCTTTTTCCATCTGCGCTGATTGTTGAGACGAAACCGATTGGGCGGGGGACAATGGCGGAGATGAGCAGCTTGTAGTTGTGTACTACGGGTCGGCCTTCTTCGTAGGGGTTGATGGAGCGGTGCGCCTTTTGCAAGCTGGAGGGCTCGTTGGGACCGGAGCCGGGTTGCCAGTTGGGTTTCGGGGTTTGCGTGTAGTGGAAGGAGGAGCTTGTGTCGAAGGGTGGGCGCGAGGCTTCGACTGCTTTGAAGTCGCCGTGGGGGTTGCGTTTTATCTCCTTTTCGGCGTCTGCTCGTCCGGTTGCCATGATGAGATCTGTAGTTTGGGTGTTGTGACTTGGGGGAAGAAGTGTTGGTGAACGAATTGTGCTGTAGTGGTGATCACGGGAACGATGTTTTTATATCGATACCTAGGTATGGGTGCAACTGCCGTTTAGTAAAAGATGATCAATCGCGCAAAAAAGTGCTCTACGGCAAATAGCGGATATAATTCCGAGCCTGCAATTGCACAAGGGGCGGCCGCGGAATGCCCACCGAGGCTTTTTGAGCCGCCATCGTAGGAATCTTGGTTAGGCCGCTTGGAACCAAGAAGTTCTATTTGCATTGAGGCTGCTAGAAGATATATGTTTCTGGCCTGTATAGAAGGTTTGGCCATGGCCATTCCGTCGGGTACACACGGCGATTTGCCGCAAGGGACGGGTTTGTCAACGTCATGTACCCCACCATGTCTCTCAGCTACCCCGCCACGAACGATAACCACGCCAGAGCTTAGTGGCAGGGTCTACCACGGAAGCTGGAACTGAGGGGCATGGTGATGATAGATAGGCAGCGTGCTTGTGCATGTCTCTGGATAGTGATCAACGGACCTTCGCTCCTATAGTTGCCTAAAATAACATTATATCCCTTCTTTCTAGATACGAGCATGTCTACAAGCGATGATTACCAAACCTACAAGTTGGGCAACTTCAAGCTCAAGTCGGGTGGAGAGATTCCAGACGCTTTCATCGCCTACAAGACATTAGGTGACCCATCGCTACCTGCGATCATATATCCAACATGGTATTCAGGGAGTATGTGCAGCCCCAATTAAGCATTACTGAACAGCTGCTAATGCGATGATGTAGCGATCTCCGACAATATCTGGCTCACGGGCTCAGACAAGACCCTCAACCCTTCTGAATACTACATCATCATGCCTGCTTTATTCGGCAACGGCCAGTCGTCTTCGCCATCCAACATGCCCGATTTGCGCCCGTTTCCAGAAGTGCTGTTTTACGACAACGTGAGAGCGCAGCATGAGCTCGTCACTAAACATCTTGGTATAAAGCATGCTCGTGCAGTCCTTGGTTGGTCCATGGGTGCAGGACAGACGTACCAGTGGGCTACGCAGTTCCCCGACTTTATGGACCTCGCGGTACCGTTCTGTGGAAGTGCAAAGACGAGCTTGCATAACCAGGTCTTCCTAGAAGGCGTCAAGAGCGCCTTGTACGCTGCCATAGGAACAAGTTCAGCAGGAGTTGCGAAGCCGAGTCTTCTAGCTGCTCAAGGCAAGACAGAGCAATTCGCATCCTCGAACCGAGAGGTCGGATTGAAGGCTCTTGGACGCGTTTATGCTGGCTGGGGCTTTTCACAAGCATTCTATCGTGAGAAGCTGTATGAGACAGCACCCACACTTGGATTCAAGAATCTGGACGACTTTCTTGTCAACTTCTGGGAAGCTTGGGCACTCTCGAAAGACCCAGAGAATATGCTGGTCATGGCGCATACATGGCAGGCTGGTGACTGCTCGCAGCAAGAACCGTATAATGGCGATTTTGAGAAAGCGATGAAGGGTATCAAAGCGAAGACGCTTGTCCTGCCAGCGAAGACAGATCTGTATTTCCCACCAGAAGATTCAGAAATTGAGGTTCAGAACATGAAGCCAGGCGTGGGAACATTGAAGGTTTTTCCATCTATCTGGGGCCACTGGTAGGCTTGTATTTCCGGATGTATAGAACACTTGAAGCTGACAAGCAACTTAGGGCCGGCGGACCAGGGCAGTCGACCGAAGACGTGAAATGGCTGGATAACCAAATGCGGGAATTCTTTTCGAAGAACTGATCTCGCAAACGATGCTACTGCTCTCCTAGCTTGATAGTCTCGACTATCTTGAAACGATCGTACTTGGTCTTGCGTTCAATAACACATACTTGATCAACATGCCAATCCAAAGCTACAGACTTGGCTTTCTCGTCTGGGTTGTGATCCAGATGTTCCGCTATTCTCTTTGTGACCAGTGTGCGAAGTCTTTCCATTCCGAATATACTGTTCACCTGCCCTACAGTAAGGTAAGGGAAGAAACCCCGCCGATCTGCATTTACTTCAGCGAACTCCTCTTGCAGAGCTGCTTGGAGCTGTTGAACCTTTTCTGTAGTAACAGGTAACCAAACAGTTTTACTGTCCCCTTCGTGGCAGACGAACCCGGGTGGATCCGCCCAGAGCTGTATGTGAAATGGTTGTATTTCTTGAACGACTCTTCCAATACGGGCACGTATTTCTGGCTTCAGAAATGATTGCGAGCCTTCGCCTTGTCCGCGAGCCTCAGAAGGCGACGGTGATGATGTTGAGTTTGCAAGATTTGCCAATGTTGCGATGGCGACGGAGGGTAAAGTAGTCGCCACGAATAGCTCTCAAGATATCTTGCTAACTTATTACTAGTATGTAGTTCCCTTGCTATGCTTTGCTAACGCGGTGCTGAGACATCTTACTATTCGTGCTAACAGCTGGACAGTAATGCCGCCGCTTCCAGGTTGAGCCACAGTGGCGCACTAGCGGCTTGGCAACGGGCTGCTCGAAAGACGGATGCATCCTCGACTTCTGATTGCTGTGCATTCACTTTCCAGACTTCAACTCGGGAAAGGTCGCGTCGCCATGTGGGAGCGCTGAATCTCTTATTACACTCATTTCCCAGCCGTCTCTCACGACAATCCACCCCGACACGCGCCCGACTGCGACTTCTTCCGCGCCAGCTCGCCGCAGCACCCCCGAAGTCGCGCGACTCTTTCAACCCCGATTCTCTCACCCTTCACCATGGACGGCCAGAAGAAGCCCACCCGACAGTTTGGAGTCACCAGCGCCATATCAGAGGCCGCGCCGACTGAACACGATATCCGGCTAAACGACAAACTCATCGAGACGCTGAAGACTGAGAATGTCTTCGAGACTCCCGAGGGCAACCGCAGGAGGTACGGCAGTCCCTGAACACGTAGTCGCGCCAAGCTAATCTTCGCAGGGAGGAGGTCATCGATCACATTCAGAAGGTCGTCGAAGAGTTTGTCCGTCGCGTCGGCAAACAGAAGGGTGTGCAGCAGCCTGTCCTCGATGCCGCCGGCGGCAAGATCTTCACCTTCGGTAGTTACGCTCTCGGCGTCCACGGTCCCACGTCGGATATCGATACACTCGTTGTCGCGCCCAAGTTCGTGACCATCGACGAATTCTTCAAAAACTTCCCTCCGACCTTCAGAGAGATGTCCAAGGCCGAAGACATCACCGAATTCGTGCCCGTCGAAGATGCCTTTGTCCCCATTATCAAGATGGAATATCGCGGTGTGAGCATAGACCTGCTATTCGCGTCCTTGCCGAAGAGATCGTCGATACCAAGAACGATGGAGACGATCGAGAAGAAGGATTTGGAAGGTCTCGGCGAGTCGGCAACACGGAGTGTGAACGGCACACGAGTCACCAACGAACTCTTGGATGCGGTGCCGCAAAAGGTCAGTTTTCGACACGCGCTGAGGGCCATCAAACTTTGGTCAAACCGCCGCGGCATCTACGGTGCAGTCTTCGGATACCCTGGCGGAGTTGCGTGGGCTATCATGGTTGCGCGCATCTGCCAGCTGTATCCCATGGCCAACGGCGCTACTATCGTTTCCAAGTTCTTCAGCTTGATGTACAAATGGACCTGGCCGCGACCTGTTATGCTAAAGCACATCGAAGAGGGCGACTTGGGTCTCCGGGTGTGGAATCCCCAGGTCTACGGCGGCGATCGCGCCCACCTCATGCCCATCATCACACCCGCCTTTCCTTCCATGTGCGCTACACATACGGTGATGCCATCGACGCTGCGAATCATGAAGGAGGAGTTCGGGCGAGCGGACAAGATCCTACAGCATATCTTCTCGGGCGCCAAGGACTGGGATTCACTCTTCGAGCGCCACTCCTTCTTTACCAAAGACCACAAATACTACCTCAGTGTCGTTGCCGCGAGTCGGACTAAGGAAGCCAACTCGACCTTCTCCGGACTGGTACAGTCGAAAATCCGTCATATCGTCAAAGGCATCGACGATGGACAAACGGGCATAGACACCGCCCGCCCGTACATTCACTACTTTGAACGCTTCCACCGCTGCAAAGACGATCAGTTCCATGAGGTTACGCAGGGTTCACTCGAGTACATGATTCCGGCATCCGAAGTTCCCGCTGAGGGTACTGAGCCAGCGAATGGCGAGCAGCATATCATTTACACTACGACCTTCTACATTGGTCTTACTTTGCCTCCAGGTTCGTATATCCAAGTTATCCATCACATGGCACAGCTAACTCGGCATGTAGATGCTACCAAGTCGCTCGACATCTCCTACCCAGTGAGCCAATTCAGAAGCTACATCACCGACTCCGACCTCTACGATGATAAAGTGATGTCAGTTAAGGTGGTTCATACGCGCAAGTAAGTGTACCGCTCATCAAGACTTGGGGCAATCGCTAACTTGCTAGCACTGCACTTCCCGATGATGTCTTTGTCGAAGGAGAGACCCGACCAAAGAAGCCTAGCAAAGACAAGAAGAAGAAGGACGCGAAAAGTGCTAAGCGCCACTTCGCCGATACAGGCATTGACGTGCGTGACTCACGCCTCACTAAATCCTCTCGACGCTCACCCGCGCCCCGAGAGTAACCATACGCCATTATGCTGACGATTGTGCTAATACAGGACAGCGAGCATTCGGCAGCAAAGCGTCGACAGGCCGAACTGGCTACCAATGGAGTCGCTACTCCAGCGGCAGCATAAGTTCGCTTTCAGCTAAGCTAGCACATGTTCGCTTTTTCTATACTCTCCATCATTCACTTGATATTCTTGGGGTTTCTGACATTCTTCTTCTCTTCAGTTCCGGCTGCTTCCTCACGCGCCGACAAAGGTACGGCTCGTTAGCAACCTGCCTGCCTGATTACACAGGTCTTTCTCGATCGAACTAGAGACGCCTCCGGACTTGCGATCCGACGCCGCATCAGGTGCAGGTGCGTATCCGTACATCCGAGGGCCTCTAACAAACAAAACCAGAAAAAAAAGTAGGAAAAGACCGCCGCAGAGCGCAGTCACAAAAACACTACAAGAAGGTTTGATCACCCACTTTTACCATAATGCATCAACCCCCCATTCTGCAGTTGGCGTTGGTTGGCGTTCAAAATGCATCACAGGGCGTTTCACGACGAGCAGGACAGGTGGTATTCGTCCGCGCGATTTGGAGTCACAGAGAGCGAGGGGGAGCGATCAATTTGCTTTACAAACACCGGGAAAGAGAGGAACCTCGTGGCTGCGAGCTGGGATTCTGTAACTAATACGCAAACTCTGTACAACCAAAAATCTACACCATTTGGGGCCTAAGTGCTCTGGCAGATCCATCGATGGCATCGTTGTGTATGAGAGATTGTGATTGTGCTGAAGTTCTTCTATAAAATTTTATTGCACATTAACAACACATGTCCCAACCCAATCCACTCCATGCCGGGACCCATGTCGCAAGTACATAACATGTGAATAATGCAGATCCCTTCGTAATCATAACAGTCGTAACCTCGCCAGTTCAATATCGCACATCATCCCTCTACCATGCTGTCTGTCGCCGCAGCAACCGCGCCAGTAGTACCGTCCAGTCCATTGATACCGTCCATCTCGCACACGACCATACCATCGTGAAGCCAGTACGGCATGTCGCGGATGTAAGGAGCTTCGGCTTTCTTAGCGCCAGTCAACGCTGAAGCGGCACTTGCCCAGTTGAAGTATTTGTGGCATCCAACGCAGAACTGTCCGTGAATTAGTAAAGTGAAACATATGAGAAGTTCAAGATAGGGTCTCACCATGCTATCACAGCCACCATCTTTCTCGATAACCAACTGGCAATTCGGACACCTCTTTCCATCTTTACCCTGCATAATCTTGAGCGTCTCTTTCTCGGCATCACTCATCTTCTCATCCACATGCTTCGCCGCATACTCCGCACACGTAACGTCCTTGTGCCACGGAACAAGACACTGGGCGCAAGACCGGAAAGCACAGTCGTTGCACGCGACTTGCGGGTATCCAGCCGCCGTCGCATCTGGCAAACCGATCGCAGTGCATGTAGGTGAAAGACAGGTCATTGGCTTGGCACTCGCGGTTTCTTTCCACACTTCCAGCATTTCCATGTTGAACTTCTCGAGCGCTTCACCCGCAGGCATGTATCGCAGGATGAAGTGGTGGTCCCAGGGTTCCGTACAACCGGGTTCTAGACAGCCGGCGCCGAGTTGGCGTACACCGAGCGTGTCCATCTTTGCGGAGAGGAAGTTGCCGATACATGTCTTGCAGACGGGGTCGATTTTCCGCTTGCTGGGGTTCCGGGCTAGGTGGGCGATGCAGTTGAAGGGGACGTCTAGATGTTGCTGCCAGCGGCCGCGCTTCGGTGGTACCCATTTGACGAACTCATCGGTGGGTTGCTCTTCGATGCAGATCCGGCATGTGAAGTGGGTGGGCGGTGGCTTGCGCGGCCTGGGGTTGGGGTTTGGTTTGCGCTTCTTCGCCCAGGGATCTGCACGTGGGCGACGCTTCCTGGTGGGCTTGGTGACCTTGGTGGCGTGGGCTTCTGAAGCTGCTTGTTTAGTTTGCGAGCGGAGGACTCGGGTGGTTGGAGTGGGTGAGGCTGCTCTTCGTGGCACTCGACGCATGGTGGAGTGAGGTGGTCAGTGAGGTGGTGGTACGGTGTTGATTAGTGGGTGATTCAGCGACCAAGTAAAGCAGATTCGAGAGTGAAAATAGTGGTATAGAAGGAGCCTCAAGCGTGACTGACAAGGCTAGATATATCAGGCTGAGGCTGCAGCTGACGTCGGTTGGCGGTAGGGAACCGGAAGGCGCTGTGGATGCCTGGCTTCAATTGGCAGGCAGTGACTCACGGTAAACTTCTCAGCCGTTTAGAAGGAAGATTGTAGCCTGAGATCTGGAATTTGGTATCTAGGTACCGTGGACGCTTGAGCCAGACAGATGGGTATGTTGCTCAGCCTATACCTGGATATCCTATTGGATAAGGCTAGCAGAAGTAGTAAGCAATATCGTATCAGAATCTACACAATATCACATGAGAGAGCGGCCTCAATTCAGCCTGAGACCTGGTGTCATCTATTGGCGCATTTCGTCAGTCGTCATTGGACCATGTTCGTTTGTCGCAAACGTCTCTGATGCCTGGTAGGCTGTCAACGCGCTACCAACGCGCTAGCGAGCATCTTGGTGGCTAGATTTTGTGTGCATCTTGCTGCATACACACCACTAAATGTTGATTACTGAGTAGAATCTGAGATGATGTAGACGTCCGAGTGATGTTTGCCACGACTCGGAGATCCAAGCTGTTCGCAGTCGCGACGGCTGCAGCGACCCCACTTTTAGGCTGCAGGGGTGCGCTGAGCACAGATCCCCCGAGCCCGAACTTTTTTTGCGACGCTTGCAAACGCGGAACGCTCAACTATCTCTGCAATTACCCCAGTACACGAGGTATCGTCACACATTAACCATGGCGCCTAAGGACGACGACTTCATTTTCACCATCTCCGACCACGAGGATGTATCCGACGACGGTGGTGCCGACGAGGCTGCAGCAACGGCCAAACTAGCTGGCGCTGGAAAGAAGAGGAAATACACTGAAGATCCTGATCTCAACGTTAAGCCGAAAGAAGTCGCGTCGAAGAAGGCGAAGAAGGACAAGAAGAAGGGAAAGAAAGGAGCCGATCCTGCTCCCGAAATCGAAGATGACAACGCGATGCCAGAACCGACTGAAGATGTCGAACAGAACGACGACATTGCCAGCGACTTCGAGTTTGCGGTCGGCGACATAGATACCGGGTTCGTGGAGGAGTTTGACGGCTGGGGCAACGACAACGGCACAGTAGCGCAGGAGTCGCAGAAGAAGGGCACCGCGGTCGATGTCGACGACATTATCGAGCGGAGACGAAACAAGAAGAGCGCACAGGCAGTCATAGAAACTGAGTCGCCCGAGGCTTCTGTCAATGGCGACTTTGAAGGTTTCGGGGAGGATGACGAGCTCATGGCCGAAGACGGGTTCGGCATGGGCGCAGCAAGCGACTCAGAGGAAGACCAGGAGGACGAGGAGGAGGCTTCAGGGGCTGAGGGTAGTGGAAGCGAAGAGGAGGGCGACTCAGACGAAGAAGCAGAAGTACCGCATGTACCACATCCCATGGACCTTGAGGGCGCCGAAACAGACCATGAAGATCAGAGCGAGGAAGAGGACGCTGTCGAGGCGAAGAAGGCAGCCGCTTTCTTCGCGCCCGAAGACAGCGTGCAGATCAAGAAGAAGAAGGGAGCCAAAGGTGGTACTGGTTCCTTCCAAGCCATGTCACTTTCACGACCCATTCTACGAGGTTTGGCATCTGTGGGCTTCACCGAGCCTACACCTATCCAGAACAAAGCAGTTCCGATTGCGATGCAAGGCAAGGACGTCGTGGGAGGAGCCGAGACTGGTTCCGGTAAAACGGCCGCTTTCCTCATTCCTATCCTCGAACGTCTGCTCTACCGACCAAAGAAGGTTCCAACCACCCGTGTCGCCATCTTCATGCCTACCCGTGAATTGGCAGTACAATGCTTCAACGTCGCGACCAAACTTGCCTCCTTCACCGACATTACCTTCGCATTGATGGCTGGTGGTTTCTCAACGCGCGACCAAGAGGCTGTGCTGAAGACCCGACCGGATGTTGTGATTGCGACACCTGGTCGTTTCATCGATCACATGCACAACACAGCTGCCTTCCAGGTTGAGCATCTCGAGATTCTTGTTCTCGATGAAGCCGATCGTATGCTCGAAGAGGGTTTCGAGAGCCAACTGAACGAGATCCTGACGACTATTCCGAAATCACGACAGACTATGCTGTTCTCCGCTACCATGACCAGCTCAGTCGACAAGCTTATCCGTATCGGTATGGACAAGCCCGTACGTCTGATGGTTGATGCAAAGAAGCACACTGTAGCGGGTCTGACACAAGAGTTTGTGCGATTGAGGCAGGGCAAGGAAGATAAGAGGCTTGCGTATTTGATGTATATCTGCGAAAAGATCTACACAGAGAAAGTCATCATCTTCTTCAGGCAAAAGAAGGAAGCGCATAGGGTGCGCGTTGTTTTCGCTCTCTGTGGGCTCAAGGCTAGTGAGCTCCATGGTAACATGAGCCAAGAACAGGTAAGCAAATGAACCATACCCGACGTTTGATGCGATACTAACAGTTACAGCGTATTCAATCCGTGGAGGCTTTCCGATCAGGCAAGTCCGCCTACTTATTGGCTACCGATGTCGCCTCGCGTGGTCTTGATATCAAGAACGTCGCGGTAGTCATCAACTACGAAGCACCGCAAAGTCACGATATCTACATGCATCGTGTTGGTCGTACCGCCCGTGCAGGACGAAGTGGTCGTGCCTGTACACTTGCCGCAGAACCTGACCGCAAAGTTGTCAAGCAGGCCGTCAAGGCTTCGCGCGACCAAGGCGCCAAGGTTGTCAGTCGACAAGTACCCGTAGAAGAAACCGACAGGTGGATGAAAAAGATCAAGGATCTCGAAGGCGAGATCGAGGAGGTCCTCGCCGAAGAGAAAGAAGAGCGTGCCATGAGCGTCACAGAACGTGACCTCAAGCGAGGTGAGAACCTGATCCAGCACGAAGATGAGATCAAGTCTCGGCCAAGGCGCACATGGTTCGAGTCCGAGAAGGACAAGTTGGCAGAGAAAGAGAAGGGTGCTGCTGCACTAAACGGATCTTCCCAGTCTGCCGGAGCAGCCCTGAAGGCCAAGAAGGGGAAGAAGCTCAGCGGCAAAGACCGCAAGAAGCTCGAGATGAACGACGTCCGATCAGAAGGCAAGGTATGGAAGAAGGGCAAGGCGGATCGTGGTCTCAGTACTGGCAAAGCGAAGGAGAAGCAGGCTCATCAGAAGGCCAAGTCGAAGAAGATCGCCGCGAAGACCGGGTCGTTCAAGGGCTTCAAGGAGTAGGCGGTTCGTTTCAGGAGTGGTTACATAGCTTAATGATACCTCTGATCACGATTTATCGAATCATTGCCTCTCAAGGTACATGAAGCGAGATACAAAAGTACATGAACAGGCTTGACGAATACGTAGACATATTCGTAGGTCGTTACGCAAGCAGACTCTCAATGAAGACTTCCCCGCTGTTGTACTGCCCTTCTGCATGGAGCATGGAAGACTACGGTCAGCAGCAAGGCCAGGCAGATGGTGTGAAAACAATAACAATGAATTCACAATGTTCATTGCTGATGAGCGCACATGGTCCGTTTGGTCCGGTGACGGAACTGATGTGCGATTGACCTCATATGCCAAGCTCGCCCCCTTTTCGGTCTAGGCGGGTAACCGGGAGCTGGCGGACGAACATGGCAGATTTATGGTACCTCAATTTCCAGGCACAACTACTTTTGCTTCCACCAGTTTCTTGACACGTACGCTCCTTCCAACACCTCTAACTACGCCTTCTTGTCCATCTCGGTCTTACTTTTTGGCAGCCGTACTACCAAGCACCTGCATTCGCGACAGGGTTCGTTATCAGCTCGGCTTATCGGCGGCTCATTCGACAACTTTCTGGTCTGGACCCGCACAGCTTCAACAGCTATTGCAAGCCCAACTAAGCGTTTGTTGGCACGCAGCACGCCCGTTCCGAACGATTCCGTCCGTTCACGCCCAGCGCTGGACTTTACTTCGCTGCACGTCATCCCATACGAGCACCTGCTGCCTAGCGCTCTGAGCATCAGCAGAGCGCGCATACGAGCCTCCACTCTCTGGCGCAGCGGGGTACACGTGTATACAAAGACTCGCAGCTATAGCGAGTGCCTCTATTGAGGATAATTGGGAAGACGGATCGTACTCCATCTCGACCACCATGGCATCGGTACAAACACAGGCCAACGGCAACGGCGCCGCGGTACGGCCAGCACAGGCTGAGAAGGAGGGCGCGTACGAGAACATATTCCTCTTCATCCCAAACTTGATCGGTAGGCGCGTCCCTTTCTACTCAACATACACGAGCTGACCATCCCACAGGCTACTCGCGCGTCTTCCTCGCCCTGATCTCGCTCTACTACATGCCCCTCCACCCACGCACATGCACCCTCCTCTACAGCATATCCTGCCTGCTCGATGCGCTCGACGGATACGCCGCGCGGGCCTACGAACAGAGCACCAAGTTTGGAGCTGTGCTCGACATGGTCACGGACAGGTGTACAACAACGTGTCTGCTCGTTTTCTTGGCGCAAGCGTTCCCGCGCTTCAGCATCGTCTTCCAGGGCCTCATCTCCCTCGACTTGGCTAGCCACTACATGCACATGTACGCGACGCTGAGCATGGGCGGCAGCGGCCAGAGCCACAAGAACGTCAATGAGAGCAGGAGTTGGTTGTTGAAGCAGTACTACTCCAATAACGTACGTTACTCACTCAACTGGACTCTCGTGTGTAGCACAGTCGCGAAACATCCGCTAACAACCACCCACAGAAAGTCCTCTTCACCCTCTGCGCCATGAACGAAATCTTCTTCATCGCCCTCTACCTCCTCTCCTTCAGCTCGCCCCTCCTCTCCCCGACCCTCTTCTCCGACCTCAACAACCCTTCGTCCATCCAGCCCGGCTCCCCCGCCGCTCCCAAACCCTCCATGTTCTTCGCTAGCCCCTTCTCCGCCGCAGCCATGGAGATGGCTCGTGCCAACAAGATGGACTCGACTGTTCCGTGGATCTGCATGTTGACGTCAGCTCCCTTTATGGCTGTCAAGCAGTGGATAAACGTTGTGCAGATGGTTAAGGCGAGCCAGTGGCTCGCGGAGGGTGATCGCGAGGCCAGGAGGAAGGCGGGTTTGCCTAGGAAGGGGGGCGCGAAGAAGAGTCAATAGACGGCTCTTCTTGTCGGACACACAAGCGGGTCTAAAGTCCAGAGCTGGCGAAAGGACGGAAAAACCCGCCGGTAATGAGGAATACCGCTCACTTGATGGGTCATCTCGGTGGGCATGCATGTGTGCGGAACATCAGATTTTTCCCTGTATGCGGTTGTTCTCTCTTCATCTTTCCTTCCTTCTTGTTTTCACCTACTCATTTTGTAGTGATTTGCGACTTCACTTATCTGCTTCATCAACTTTCTTCATTCGTTTTTTGGCTTCTAGCTTTTTATCTTGTACGAGTGTTCATCTCCTTTGCCTCTATAGATGGTCCCAGGGTTTGCGGCGCGGAGAAAAAAAAAGATCACAAAGTCTTGACAAGGCCTTTGTACGCCAGTATAATAATATGTTGTTTGCTGTATATATAATGTACTGCGAGGTTGTGGCTGTGATGATGATGCTAAAGTCACAGCAAGAGATGCTGTGAAGCTAGAATTGCGTTTTCATTGCGCTATGAACAATACGTGTTTCCTCTAATCCCTACTATCCCCATTCCCATCTTATTTCCTTCGATACAACAGTAATACGCAACGTCATGCAAGCATCTCCAACAGCTCCTCTCCAACCCATTCCAATTCATTCGTCCATCCAATCGTTTCTTCCTCACGAACAACATTCACATTCACATTCGCGTCGTCTGGGCCCTTTGCCGACATAAGTCTCGCCGCAGCCCCTTTAATGAGAAACCCTTTTTCTTCCGTCCATCCATAACGATGCTAGCCGGGTGGACTGGGGGTTGAGGAATCCTATTTCCCCGAAACACGTCCCGCCCGGACCAAGTCCTGGAATGCTGATTCTAGTGCCCGCTTTACTTCGCGGTAGCTCACTATCAGCACGTTTTGCTCGTCGCGGCTGACGAGCGGTATCTTCTCGTCGGTCCCGGCGTCGAGCTTGTTCAAGCAGTCGAGAACGTGCGCGAGGTCGGTGACTGGGTGTCCGTTGGCGTCTACTTGGTGGAAGACGTAGTCGCGGAACAGCTTGAGGTAGTAGCGCTCTCCAGTCTCTGCCCATACCGATGATGGGTTTGCGCCGCTGTTACCGGGCATGTTTTGGGAGGCGTCTAGTTCTGGTCGCTCGTTGATCATATTTAGCTTGACCAGCAGACGGACCAATCTCGACGATTCCAACTCTTTTCCGAGGTTCACTGTAAGCGTGTCCTGGGCATGTAGCTCGCTGTCGAAGACCGATGCAAATTGGTCGGCAATGCCTCCCAGGAAGGTGTCAATGTCTTTCTGCATCGGCGCCGGTGTTGTAGGAGACGATGGTGCTCCTGGTGCTGGTTGAGGGTTGAGCAGCCATTGCACGCACTCCTTGAGACGAGCTGTATAACTTCTAGTGATATAGTCCATCGACTTTTGCATCTGCAAGTGGGCTGTGGCGTTGTTGTTCGCGATGCAAAGTATTAGTCGTCCTAGCTGAACGAGGTCGTCTGCTTGCAGTTCAGGCACGGGACGCGCATTGTCAAACTGGACTATGTCCATGATACTGCATGCGTTGAGTCGTATCCGGTTCTTTGACGTCAACAGTATTTTCGAAGGTGTGATGAGGCGCGCTGCGAGACCCGAACCGTGTATGGCCTTTAGAGCCGATGCAATTTGAACAATGTAGCCCCATAACACTTGCTCCGGTACGTGCGATGATGCAGGTTGCCTCCCGTGGAAACGCTGCACCGGCTTGAAATGCTCATCAGCAAGTGACTTCGAATTTGGATGGTAGTCCGTGACTAAGATTAGAGAACTATCGCCAAAAGCTCGAGTAGTGAACGCTTCGTGGATTGTAACCACATTGCCGTTCAAAACGCGTTTCCATGGCTGGGCGGAGCGAATCGCAGTCTCGCTTGTAAGGCGGAAGTTTTCCAGACGGCGTAGCGCATACGTCTTGCCATCTTTGCTTGACACAGCTTTGTAGATCCAGCTGGCGTACCCAAATGGAGCCGTGTTCTTCTGGGGTGACATGTCTAAACAAAACAAGGAGTGAAACTGCTCAATGACCGGCAAAGTACTATTCGGCGCGACCTGACGTGCAATATCTGCCTTCTTTTGCAACTCTTCCCGAAGAGCGTCAGGTATGAAGAAATCATGTGCAGTACGCTGGTAAGCAAGCAGACCCGTCGGCTGAGGCCCTACCGGCCAGTACAGATGGTATGCTGGAGTTTGAAACGCGTTGGCGTTCTGGAAATACGTCGTCGAGGCATCTTGTGCATACGGGTTGATGGTAGCAGCTTGGTGGGTTGCACCTGCCAGGGTAGAGATGCTGGACGGTGTGCTGAAAGGATCGTAGCCCACATTAGGGTCCACCTAGGGCGTTGTGAGTCGAGAACTGGATGTAAGAAGGTGCTCCAAAATCACGAATTGAAGGCAGATATATCAAGTAAAGCCACGCACCATCTGCTGACCCTCAAAAGACTGCGGGACAAAATCTTGGAAGTCATGTGAATTCCAATCAATGGCGGGTTCTTTCGCGTGCATATGCGGGGTGGTGACGGCTGAGACGATCAGCATGCATATAGAAGTCATTTGCGAATGCTCAGGACTCACCGGAGCGTTGCGATTTGGGAGTGAAGACGGCAGCATTGGCCGCCTTGGGCGAGATAGCGGCACTGCGAGAAGACGGGGTCACAGATCCATTGGTGCTCGCCTGCAGAGGCGTGAAGGAGGGAGAGTCGACATTGAACCTCTTTTTGGCGTTCTCATTCTGGCCCAACTTGAGGGTGTCGTGGATGTAGGGGCAGGCTAGACAGGGTCACCACGAAATTCGGCAGGTGCGGCCAGCAGCACTTACTGTTTTCGTACCGGCAGTGTCCGTAGATGGTGACATTGCGGCAGAGGGTGTTCTTCGCTTCTGCATAGGCCAGTCAGACTCGACATGTAGTGTATAGGTGTGGCTGCGTCATACCGCGTCCCTTAGGGCGAGGAGAGACGACTCCCCGTCGCGAATCACCCGAAGGACCGCCAAAGGTTGTTGCCATGAATCGCGGCTGGCTCGTCGAGGCGGTGTTGGTAGCAATAGAGGGGTGCTGGCGCGTCTTGGACGCAGTCGGGGGTGAGCGAGCAGCGCTCTGCGCGGGCTCTACGGGCTGAGAGGTGGGGGGTTTGCGGTCGGAGCCGGTATCATCTGACGAGCCACCTCCCCTACTCCATCGGCTCGTGGACTTGTTCGAGTGTTTCCGCCTGGTGGTGCGCGCCTGTTTCTGGGGCGTGGTAGGGGCGTTGCGCCCGGGGGGATTGGGAAGCGAGTCCCGTGACGACGACGACGTCAACTCGGAGAAAGATTCGGTAGTCGAGGAGCCAGAGCTGGCAATGGCAGTCGCATGTGGGTGGCCCCTGGCTACAGAAAAGAAGGCAGGGCGAGGGGGCGTCGTGGAAGCGTGCGGCGCGCCTTTGTTCGGCGGCGATGCAGGCTGAATGGTGGGCAACCTGTGGCCGGCGTGGTGAGAAGTTCCTGCGAGCACATTAGAGAGCGAGCCCATCAGCGGCGGCACGTCGTGGGCAGGAAGAGACCGCGCCTGGGGGTGTCCAGGGCCGCCGTCAGACATGGCGGGCGGCATGTTTCGCGATAGCCGACGAGAGTGGCATGCTGGGGCGGGACAATTGGATGGGTACCTTTCGGAATTGCGGGCTATGAGCCACCCCCAGCGAGTCCAGCGTCCTGTAGGAGCAGCAGCCGCGTCTCCATTAGCAGGCACAGTCCAAATGGCGAGGCAGACTAGACGAGCAGGCGCGCTGGGTGAGTGAGGTGTGATAGCTGCGGGCTACACCTATCAGCGAACAGCCGCCTTCCCTGCTGTTTGGCGTGTTTGCAGTTGGCGGCTTAGTCATCCGCTCAGTCATCCAACTTCCCCCTCGGCATGCTTCACACATCACCACCTAGGTACGACATCACCTGAGCTGAACATCAAGCACCGAACACGAGGCCTTGATTGCATTGAAATTCGTCTCTTCACGAATATCGAACGTCACTATAGCTTCATGTCCCTCGCCTTTCTCTGATACTGTCTGTCGTTCACGTCTTTGACTCCTCACTCAAACGCCCTCCGTGTCTCTTTCACAACTTCCATCTCCGCCGTTTGCGATGCTTCCCTCTACTGTGACCGGCGTCGGTGAAGGGAGTTTTGGAGCATACGAATCACCCGAGCACCCATGGCGTTCGCACTGGTCTGCACGCTGCGGTCGTGAATGGCCTGACGAGGGAACTGTCTGGATGCCTCTGCTTGCGCTTGGGGTCCAGAGATCAGCGGTTGCAGCTCGCTGGAGATGCCCTCATGGGTTTCACCTCGCCGACTCATCTGTTCCGGGTGAAGATCTGGCTCTCTGTTCTGGGGCGGTCGCACAGGTTCGTCCATGCCCGGTGCACGAGGCAGTTGTGTGAGCGTGTCTCTATCCCTATTGACGAAAGACTGCCTGTTTTGTTCTGCAGAGACAGGTGCAGTACTCACGGTAGGGCTTGCTCCTCCCATAGCTCTGGGACTGTTGAATCTCGACGGTCCATCCTGCTCTTGCCGCCACTGGAGGTACTCTGGATCAAGCAGAGCTTCTGCATTAGCTCCACGCGGTGATTCCTCGAACCAACTAACTCTCATACTTTGACTCTCAGCGGCCGAGGACCTGAATGGCGACATACCGGGTTGCCACATACTACCTTCGCTCGGACGCGACGAAGACACTTCTCGCTGTCGTGCTGGACTTTCTACCGTAAACGCCTGCGGTATAGGTACGGCAGTCGATGATCCACCCACCTGGCTTTCGCTGGCCACGTAGTGACGGAAAATGCCTGCGTTCACAAACCAATTGTGTCTGTAGTCTCCAAGCATCACCCTTACTGCTCGTCCAGGAATACTCTCAAGCGATTGCCTGACGTCCCTTTCAGTTGCGATCGAGAGAAGTGAGAAGAACATTGTCTCTTGCATGAGCTCGCGATCAAAGCTGCCGATAACAGCACTCCTTGACCATTCGCTGCGCATAGCCCCAGTCTCGTCGGGTGTGAAATGCCAGTTGTCAGGCATGAGTTTGTTCAAGAGGGCGCCATATTCGATAAGCAACCTTGTCTGGTCTAGACCTGGCTCGGGACGGTTGTTTGAAGCCGGTTGGGGACCAAGATGGAGACGGAGCTGCTCCAATCGCTCCAGGTCGCGCACGAACGCAGAGCGATTCCTCCAGCGGTCCTCGAGAGCGACGCCGGAAATTCGTTCTGTTCCCAAGAATACCAGTCTGCGATAACGCGCCTCTATAGGTGTGTATTCGCCGGTTGCCGGGTCGGGCATGATACATGAAGGCACCGGTTTCAATTCGTGAATGGCTTCTAACGCACGTCGAAATCGAGGGTCGCTTGGCGATGTATCAGGAACATCAAGGTTATGGCGCCTAAGCTCGCTCAGGAGTAGGTTGTTGTGGTTGCGAAAAGCCACCACCGTATCTCCCAGCATCGACACGGTGTTACTTAGTTCGTCTAAGCTCGTGAATAGGCCCGCCAGATCTCCTTGTTCATCGACATCACTCGGGGGTGGCTGCGTCGTCACGATTAGCGAATGCGCGTGGATTACTTTTGTAAACAATGCTTACAGGTAGAGGGTGGCGACTCGGATAGAGCGGCAGGCGGCAGTTCGGACAGCTGCTATGCTGTGTGTTCCATGAATTGAGCCAGGCCAGCAAGCAATGCTTGTGGAAAGTGTGGCCACAACGACGAATCTCGTCGACCTCCTGGCCCGACTGTAGCTCATCAAGACAGATTGCACACAGCGTCGGTATATCATCGCTGCTTGTCGTCGCGCGCAAGCCGATGCGGACGAACTCCTCTTGATTTGCTGCCATTGCGACTTCCGGCGGTGTTCAAAAGTCAGTCAAGAGCTGTCGCGAAAATGAAACTGGAGGCAAGAGTATTGTTGGGGAGCTCGGACTTGCTGCCTAATTTTCTACTTCTTCGATTCACTTTCACGTTATTCGTACGCGCGTTTGCACCTTGTGGTCACTCGGCTGTCTAGACAACCGCCCCGCAAGCACTTATCAGTATCGCTACTGCACGCTCGACAGAAGTTTAAACAACCATCACGATTACCCGCTATCTACAACCTCGCTACCCTTCAACATGCCCTGGGCCCCAGCTCTAACGGAGCAACAAAAGCGGGACACACCACAAGACAGCGTCGAGAGGGTCACAAGTGCGATACGGATGATCAGACCCTGTACCGGGCTTGTAGACGACCACAATCGAATCGCGCCGAACATGTTTCACCTCCTCGACTGCGGCCATGTTGTCGTTATCGATGGGTCGGATACGAGATGCGGTAGCAACTGCCGATACCCCATAAATGGGGCCAACCCACGGTTCTCAGAGACTGTCGCACAGTCCCCCACGGCGTATGTTATCGATGAAGCTTTTGAGTCCTGTCAATCGCTAATTCATCCTCTTCTAATCCAAGGCTCATAAGTATCCGAGCCACTGACTTTTGGCCGCGTCAAGAACCCCTCTATTCTGAAGTCTGCCAAGGCATTCCAGTGGACCACTACCTCTTCCAGAAATACCATCGACGTTCTCTCGCCCTCACACGCGGAGAAATCGTAGCGGCTCTCCAGATCCCGAATGACCAAGTCGAGACCCTGTTGGCGGCACCGTTCCCCAATCCAGATCTCCAAGAGCACAATTTACATTGTGGCCACAAGGTCTACTGTGTTGCTCAGCAATCTTGTGGTCAGAACTGTGAGTCTGACAAGCCCTGCCCGACGCATCCCTTGGCACTTCTTCTCAACAAGGACTCCGGCGTTATATTTTGTCAGGAGTGCGTTCTGAGAGCGGAACGGCTTTACACGAGGTATGAGGCGAAGGAGAAGGAGTTGGAGGTAAGACGCGAAGGTCACCCCGGGCCGGGGGCTGAATTTGGTTTCTAGGTTTGTTGCTGGTTCCATTCTTTGTTCATTCTTTGGGCATTGCACATGATAGACTTTGATTGAACTTTCCATGCTTGTAGAGTGGCGTAGACCAATTTCTCCTCTTCTCGATGCCATTGGTGATGAGAGCGCACGACCGTTGGTCTTGATGACGTATCTGGCAGAGGTCAGAATCTCGCTCTCACTTCGGGAGCGCGCAAGCTCCTGTGCCTATTCGGTATTCACTATGCCAATTAGATTGCATCGCTTTGGGTTTCTCACTATTGTCGCATGTCTGCTCGCCCTATTGTTCTCCAGTCTCGGAGCCTAGCGTGCCTGGACGCATCGAGCGATAACCGCTCACCTTCACTACAGTTTAGCAAAATAGGCTACGAAGGTTCTCTTATTTTCTCTCTTCTACAACGGGTAGTCTGTAACACCAACGCAACTACTCCCTCGTTCTCAACCGCAGACCGATCACATACTTAGCGACTCATCGACCTCACCGCGGGTTCGCATCATCAGCAAACCTTCATCAACAGCTCGATGGGAAAACAGAAGACAGTCACGACGGGAAAGCCGCCGGGACGTCCTCGCGGTGGCGCCAGAGGTGGTAGCCGTGGTGGCGGCCGACCAAAAGGCAGAGCCTCGAAGTCAGCGACACCGGCGCCATCAGCGCCAGAAACTGTATCCGATAGACCGGGACCCAAGCTACTGTTCAAGTCGTCGGTGGGAATATTGGATAGCCCAGCGCAAGAGCGCGACGCGACACCGGCATATAGCGAGAGAGACGATCAAGACGACGACTTTTCTCAGCACTTCGTAGAGGCGGCGCCGATCACGACTCGCACTGGACGAGCGATTCAAAAGCCAAACCAATACGACGCCGCTCAGGGTAGCGAGATCGATGCCTTCATTGACCAGGCTGAGGAAGATGCTAGAGACGATGGCAGAGGAACCATCGCGAGTGATCCATGTGAGTTCATCTTTCTTGTTTTATGAGCCCAGATTGCTGACCTTGGTTCAGCGTACACTACACACAAGGCCCAAGAGCAGATGAAGCAGCCACCAAAGGCACCAAAGCCAAGAGGCCGTCCGCCCAAGAACCGCACGCCGTTTAGCGCCGCCGCTGGGAAATCAATCGAACAATATGGGATGTTCGCGTCCGCTGCAGTGCCTCCCCCGTTCATAGCAGACAAAGAAATATACCTCATCCTGAGCAACCTCAAGAGCAACGCCAAAATCAGCCTCGACCTTCCCGGCCTCACCGATGCCGCCAACCCATATCAGGCCCTACCCTACAGCGCCAAGACCCTCACACAACTCTACATTGTCTGCTACCAAGAGAAGTTCTGGGACCTCTGCGACATGGTAGCCGACACATGGATCCGCAAGTTCCACGACCAGCGCAAAAAAGCTCAAGAAGATAAGAAAAAGGACGATAAAGCAGAGGAGGAGAAAACAGAGGAAATCTGGCTCCCGAACCGAGCGCTCAACCGCCGCAAGCGAGTCGCACAACAGGCGTGGCGGAAGGACAAGAATATCCCGGCGGAGTTTGATCAGTTTCCTAGAGACTACGACTTGGAGGTCACGGATCCTGAACTTGACAAAGATGTTACGTCGGTCCATACTGATCTCCTCAACTTGCTTTACACACACACATCACCGAGGTGTGGAGCGAGACTCCTCTGGGCCGACGCACTCGCACTGGGCGGCGACAAGACCGAGCACATCATTGGGAAAGTCACGCGCAAGGGCTTCCATCTACACCCCGAGCTCCTCTTCGACATCATGCAAACAAGCCTCCGTATGGTCCGACGAAACCTCACGCTGAAGATCGAAGAGAGCACCGAGGGCGCATGGTGCCAGCGATACCACGAACACGGAAAGAACGGCAACGTTTGCTACCGACAGCGCGCATCGAGGGTTGACGAGGGCCTGGAGATGGCAATAGAGCAGTCTAGGAACAGGGAAGAGGTTGATGGGGAGGGCGTAGCTGATGATGTGGATTTGCTAGAGGAGTTGGAGTTGGCACTGTGGGCGCAGGAGCAGGAAGAGACTCCCAGGGCTGAGAAGAGAGGGCGCGAGGATGGTGGTGAGGTTAGCCCGAGTAAGCGGGCTAGGTTTTTGGGGGAGGAAGAGGATGCTGAGGGGGATTCTGAGGAGGATTGAGAGGAATATTGAGCGAGGCACGGGTCAGAAGGTCCGCGGTTGCCTTTTCCGGGAATCCGGCTACGATGTCGACATAATGGCACGACATCGGTATGCCAAACATTCTGCGGTCAATTCGATAACTAGGCAGCTGAGTTACAGGAACAGACAATCATAGTTACTTACGTTCTGATCTGAAGGCGCGACGTGCTGATCATTGCGCACTGTTGCGCAGCCGTCGTGTTATCGCACCTGCCTTAGATTGTCCTTCACTCCATCGCGCCTACTCCCTGGTCGTCACTTCCCTCGGGGCCACGGCAAAATGCTAACACGTGCTTCATCGCCTAACTGCTAATTACCAACACCTCGCCATCTCATTTGCTGCCAACACACCGACATTCTCCCACCACCCCAGATCTAACGTTCAGTCACACTCTGCCCACAACTAGTTCCGGATAACCGTACTGGACCCCTCAGGCGTCCAGTCAAAGTGACATGTGAACCTCGTACCCCGGGTCCCATTTCTCCGCACGGCTTGAATCAGTTGTTGTGATTACAAGACGTATAAATGGGTCTTATCCCCAACATTGGCGCCTTGGTCCGTCTTGGTTGATACCCACAATGAGCTCGTAAGTGCGTGCTTTCCACCCCATATGCTTTCCAAGGCGGCTAATCAGTTCAGAGGCGTTTGTCAGCGTCCGTATCCACCCGATCATCCAACACCTCCGCCCGCGGACATACGCACACGATGTCTGGATTGATGTGTTGAACGAAAGCCAATGTCTGTTGAGGGCGACCTAGCCGGCAACGCGGATTGAACACAACACCACCTCAGTAGATGTCTCATGCACGGCAATCACCGACACTTGGATTCTTGTGGCTTCGACGGTAGCCGATTGTATACATGATGCATAAGAGGAAGGATTAGACCCACTGGCATCGCCGACCAGCCGATCAATCTCGCCCGCTGTGGACCAGAAGGATGCTCGCATGATTCTCAAATTTATCGCAGCGCTTGAGAGGAGAGGGCATGACTTCGATGATGCCTACGAAAACTACGATGTAGCAAAAAGGTTGCTCTGTTGACGTCTGGTACAAGCACTTGGGCGTCCTTTGGCACAATGGCTTGCGCTGTTCACAAGCACTTGGTGAAGGCATGGCGAGCTTGGTCTTCGCTAACCATCTCACGCGCACCTCGTGTGTGTGGAGACCCCAAGTCAAAGCGCCTGCGTTCGCACCGATAACACTCGGAGCTCCGACCGGGGGTGGTGGACGTATCACACCTCTAGACCTGTCTGTTTCTTCGCATCGCATGACAAGATGCACTGCGAATGCAAAGCTCTGTGGAGACGAGAAGAGCCCCGGCGGTCTGGGCTTTCGTCAAGACAAAAAAGCGCTTGGAGATGTTGTGCTTGCCGTTGTGGGTTCAACGATTCAGCTGCCACTACGGCAGAATACAACCTTCCTGCTGGACTTTGGGGTACAGAGCCAAGAGTCGGATCATTGTCCTACGACCCATCAGAGGCTCCGACAACCAGGACGAGTGTCAGCGCCAGAGCGACCGAAGAAGCGACACATTTTCACACCTGCGCACCGTTAGCTCTACCAAAATATCCTGCAGGCGCGTATCTACGTCCGATAGTGTAGTCCACACGGCAGATGCATTGGAGGGACGGGATACCATTTGGGGTAGTCACAACGCGGGCGCTACTGGAAAAGGCTGAAGGAGTTGGAGCCGCATCGCTTGTGTCGACACACCGCCGCGAGACGAGGTCTCGTCCAGGAGCTTAACCTCAGAAGCCGACACCCTGCTCCGACGCTCCTCTCGGTCATAATTCTGCCGGCGAACGGTCTCGTCGCGAGGCAGCGTCAGAATAGCGTAGTAATTTATCCCGCGTGCGAGATTTTCCCGGGATGGTACCAGCCAATAGCGCGACATGCATTTACGGCACCTCCCCGGCCGCTACGAGGAGCTTGACAAGCTTCTCTTCCTCGACTGACAGCTAACGTGGGAGACCAAGAGAAATCCGGGACACGAGAGCGTTTGGGGGATAATGCGGGGTTCCCATCGTGTGGTGGCCAGGTTCTTGACTCGTCCTTAGCTCGGCCCCAAGCTCCACAAGACGCACGAACAAGGAAGCTTTCTCCACCTAAGCCTGCCAACCTTTCCGCCTCCTTACTGGGCATGTAACCTACGTGCAGATGGCGCTGCCGTGAGAGACACGAGAGGCGACCGGCGTGGCCGCTTGATCGGTAATTGATCAGACGATCAGCGGTCCGCTTACTGCGCGAGGGTTAGTTCCAACGCCTGCAATGGCCGACGAGACGGGTCGACCTATTGAACGTTGGGAAAACCACAGTTGGGAAGGTCATCCGGCATTCCTGGCTCGGAAGACCGACGCCGACCGCTACTGGCGATGGACAAACGTGGAGTAGAGGCTTCCGGGGTTGACTCTGGGGTCTCATGGATGGTGTGATTTAGCAGGCCTTGCATCTAGGATCTCGGCATCTCGTACCCCACCATCAGTTCAAGTATAAGAGGCACATGCACCTTTGTACAGTTGAGTCGTCACTGCCTTTCCTCCCTGTCCGACAGACGTAGGTTCCGCAGCTCAATCACGACCTTACTCCGATCTACCTACACCAGCATCGCCCATCATGGTCGTTTGGAACCCATGGAAGGAGAACTTGAAGCACACTCCCAAGGAGAGCCTTAACTGGCGTCTCTGGTACGGTGTCTTCGGTAGGTTATCTCACCTCCCTTGAGACAACACCCAACTAACTCGCCGTAGTTTTCGGTCTCATGGGCGCTGCTCGTGGTATCGACGAAGGCCTCATCGGTACTACGGCCGAACTCGACCCCTTCAAACGCAAGTTCGGACTCGAAGAAGACGGCAGCAAGAGCGAGCACGAGATCGCGGAGCTCCTATCGAACATCACATCCATGGTGCAGATGGGTTCCATCTTGGGTTCCCTCATCGCCTTCTTCATCACCGACAAGATTGGTCGTCTCTGGGCTACTCGCCAACTTTGCATTGTCTGGGTTATCGGTATCGTCATCTTCCTCACCAGCTCTATCACTGGTTCCGTTGGACAAATCTACGCCGGCCGCTTCATTGCTGGTATCGGCATCGGACAGACCACCGTCGTCGCACCCACCTACCTAGCTGAGACCGCACCCAGGGCCATCCGTGGTCTCTGTGTCTGCGCTTTCGCTGGATCAGTCTACATCGGTATCATGCTTGCCTACTTCGCATCATGGGGTTCCTCCATCCACATCTCGTCTGCCACTGATGCTCAATGGCTCGTACCCAACAGCATGCACATCATGTTCGCCGGTCTCATCTTCACCCTCTCTTGGTTCGCCAAGGAGAGTTCTCGTTGGTTGATCAAGGTCGGCCGCCACGAGGAGGCGCTCGACAACCTCGCACAGCTCCGCAACCTTCCCGCTGACCACCCTTACGTCACCTCGGAGATTATGGACATCAACGACCAGCTCAACCGCGAGCGCGAAGCCACTATGGGTACATCTTGGCTCGGACCCATCCGTGAGCTGTTCTCCAGCAAGGCCAACCTCTACCGTCTCCAGCTTTCAGTCCTGTCGCAGTTGCTATCGCAGTGGTCGGGCGCCAATTCCATCACAATGTAAGTCACACTCACATTCCATGCCTCGCGCACACAACTAACACGATCCCCAGCTACGCACCCAAGTACTTTGAGATGATGGGCACCAGCGGTCAACAAGAGAAGCTGTTTGCTACAGCCATCTTCGGTGTCGTCAAGTTTGTCAGTTCCATGATCTGCGCCTTCTTCCTGATCGACTTCCTCGGCCGCAAGCGCTCTCTCGCCACCGGTATCACACTCCAACTTCTATCCATGCTCTACATGGCCATCTTCCTACTCATCGACACCGGTGTCGCCGATGGCGTACCCCAGAGCTCAAGCCAAAAGCACGCTGCCATGGGTGCCATCGTCATGATCTACTTCTCCGGTTTCGGTTGGGCGCTCGGATGGAACTCGATCCAGTACCTCATCAACTCCGAGATCTACCCTCTCCGTCTCCGTGCGCTCGGTGGTTCCATCGCCATGACATTCCACTTTGTCAACCAGTACGGTAACTCCAAGGCTGTACCTCTCATGTTCATTTCCATGACCCACGGAGGCACTATGCTGTTCTTCTCCTGCGTCACCGCTGTCGGTCTCGTCTGGGTATACTTCTTCCTGCCCGAGACTTCTGGAAAGTCGCTCGAATCTCTCGACGAGATGTTCAACCTTCCTTGGCACCTTATTGGTCGCAAGGGTGCCGAGCTTACAAAGGGTTCTGGTGGCATGGCTGAGATTATGGATGAGTCGGGTGAGAAGGCTGTTGAGTACCAGATGGAGAATGCTGGTGGTGCTGAGCAGCAGACTCACCGCGTGGAGCAGAAGGTCTAAGCCACCGCGGCAGTCGTACGAATACCCTGTATATAGCATCGCACACGTCAATAGTGTTGCTGGATGTATATGAACGAAGTCATGAACACAAAGTCATTTTCTCATGCATGTGCACGTCTAACAATCTCTTAATATACTAACAAGTTACAACTACCACATGTACAATCGCACTGCTTTCACCCCATTCCCGTCAAGCATGCAAACTTTTACAGTTGAACCAATGCCCATGTTCCTTAAACAAATGCTAACTTCGACTGAAAGATCATCAGCCTCTTGGGATAGCTAAGCCAATACCCACAGTAGGGAGCGACGAACCAACTCAAACCCGGCGCCAGGTGAGTCAAAGCCTAAAGCTCAACCGATGTAGAGGACTAGCTTTGGTACCCTAGAGCGATGATAGCAATATGAAAACGTCATTCCCCAACGCCTCGCTCAAACCATGATAACCTACCCCATAACAATGCCAATGAAAATTACCCGTGCATAACTTTTGGGAAGAAAAGGAAAGGAAAGGAGCAACCAAACTGCTCACGCAATATCGTGAGCATCAAGACCACCGACACAACATCGCACCCTACACCCCACCA